TCAATCCCAGATAAAAAGGCAAAAAGGAAAGCAAATCAATGATGTTCATCCACTGGATGGTGAAAGAGAGGGTCTTGGTCAGGCCGGAGGGCTCCTGGAGGGCTCGAGGCCCCCCCACTTGATGCAAATAGTGCTGCGGATTGATCAGACGCTCCGGTACCGCGTGCACGCAGGCAAGGCGGAGGACGTAGTCAATCGTGAAGATGCCCACAGTCACGGCTTCCACCCAAAAAAGGGCGGGAATCTGCGTGGGGGGGCAGATAGACTCCGGACACGCCGAGTCCGGCCCGGGAAGACACACAGGGTCGGGGCAATGCCCCGGCTGGCGTTGGAATCGGGGCATGGTGGAGAGGACGAAGCCAAGGCAGGTGATGAAAATGGTCAGGCCCATTAAAGCGGAGAGAAGGCGGGCCAAGGGGCTGAAATTCGGGTGGTGGAGGGTCAAAAACACCAGCCGACGCAGGTTGCTCTCCCCGTAGTTGTCATCCTTTCGGGTAATGATACGCCTAGACAATTGGTGATGGACTGTAGCCGGTGGACGGTCAGAGAAGGAGGGACGTTGGTCGCTGGAGGTTTGTCTGGGAGGGGCCCGGTGGTAACTCGAGTTGGAATTTCTGGGTACGTGGGGGACAGGCATGGTGCGGGTGAAAGGGGAGAAGTAGATTCTTGGCGCGGAAGCGAGGAAAAGGCGGTGGTCTGCGAGAGAAGGAACCTAATATGGAAAGGGCGTTGAGATTGCCTGTGGGGTTGTGGTGCCTATGTGTAGAACGGACGGCAAAGGGAAAGAGGGTTAGTTGTTGATTCAGGTATGGTGTCGCGTCGATTTAGGTATCTGCAGAAGGAAGGCGCTATCCCTATCCGCAGGCGACGTATGACTGTGCAAGGTCATGAGAGCATATATTTAAGTATATTTCTTGATGAAGCGCTGCTCTTTTCGCATCTCGATCGAGTTCCTTTGTATCCCGCAGTTCGACTTCAAGACTTACTAGGCCCATGTCTATATTGGACCCCATGTATTTAGCCCCTAATACAGGACATGTGGCTTCATGCGCATCTGTATGCAGGCTCATCAACTCTCAGCAAAATTCTCCTTAGAATAAAAGCTCCACCGTGGTGGTGGCTGTATGGTATGCGAAGGTAGCGAGGGGAGGGCCTCGACGTTGACAGGTACCTTTCCGCCCCAACCTTTCCAAGCCTGTCCTTGCAAAAGGTCCATTGGAAAAAAGGTTCGCATCTCTTGTTTTTTGTTCATACGCATGGATGAGAGAGGCGCGCGAATATTTTTTGTCAACGCGGACCATTCCGCGAGGCGACAGGAGCGGCAGAGGCCAAAAAGATGCGAGATGGGGAGGTTACAATGCGTAATATTCAACAAAATGCTCAAGAACGACACATCATGGCAAATATACCACAACGTAGGCACCAACGTTCTCCAAAGCTGGTAGGAAGTCAAATTGCTCCAGCCTTGCTTGTACGGGTGGTAAATTCTGACAGGACTGCCGTCGTCGCTAAAGCAGAGGAACAGCCAGTCCGTGGGGTAGATGGGAAAGAAGGACTTGCCGGCAAGAGATGCATGGGCTTGGACTAGTGAGGCGACGCGTTGAATAAGGCCGTGTGCGGTGGAAAAATTCTCATTTAATTTCAGGACAATAAGGTTGACGACTCGGTTTTTAGCGCATTTCTTTTTGGGAAGGGCGGAAAAAAAAGCCATTGTGTGCCTCATGCCAAAAGGAGGATTGTAAAATTTATATATGCATGCCTGCTTTAAATTCTAAATGAACACAATCTAGATCAAAAATACCATTTTACTTTTTGTGTCAATTTTCCTCGGTCCAAAATCCATTTTTTCAAATAAAAGGACGAAGGGAGGCACCCGTTGAGGAAAGGATCACAGGGTACTACTTATGTTGCACACGTCCCTGCAAAGCAAGAGCCAGAATCTTTCCTTCCTCCCACCATGCCACTATGTGAATAGACAGTTGAATGAAACGGCAACAGTTTTTCCAGCTTCGGTATGAGCCGGCCATCGGTATTTTTCGGCTTTCCCCCCGCATTTTCTTTTCTGCAAAGACCAGGCAACAAGTGTACAATATCAGTCGTCCTCTCCAAAAGTGATCTTCTTGCCTTGGAACGCCGCAATCCCCCCCCCACCTTCCTTCGCTTTCAAGGCTTGCTTCGCTGCCCACGAGGGATGCAAATGCTCTCCCTCTGTGGCCGTTGGAGGAGGAGGTGATGTTTTCAAGTGCCCGGCCTTTACCCCTCGGTGGCTACCATTCCCTGCAGAATCTCTTTTTGGAAACTTGTCCTTCCCCCACCAGACACGATCCAATGGATTGACATTGCT